TTCACGAAACGGAGGACGACTTGTATTGTAACAATCTGCAGAGCAAGAGACAGATGCAGAGGCGTGAGCAAGCGTGCGGAAAGTAAAAGCAAACACCTGCTGACCAACGGGGTGGCCTTGGTGTGATAAAACGGTATTTTACGATTTAAAACAAAGAGATCCACAGGAGGAAAGGTACATGCAGAATGGGATGTGGTTGGTCACTACACTTGCATCTACGGGCCACCTATATCTCTCGTAATGCTTCGACTATGAGTTGATCGGTCCTTGGTTGTGTAAGGATACGGCCGCGGAGCAAGGACGCCAATCCGTTTTGCTGTCGATGAAAACAGCCCCAGCTGATCAGTCACAGGCTAACCAGAAGGTCCGATTACCCCTCCAGCAAATAGTAGAGAACCTGCGGGCATGTGAAGATAGGTTAAGATGCGAAAAGGAAAGCAAGCTAGTACGGGGGAGGATGTGGGGTGCTGGAGTTAGACAAGCGAGGTGAAGGTAGTTGAATATATTGGAATGATATAGTTAATAATAAAGAAGATGGGGGAAGGGCCTTGTTTTGGAAAGCTAAAGATGTAGGTACCACCAAGAACTTAAGATTTTTTCCTTAGGCTGATTCGGGGAAGGTTACGTCCCACACCTCATCAAGCCCTTTTTAAACAGTTTCAGCGTGGACGCCGAGATAACCTCAGGCATTGACCACTCAATGAGAGAAGTAGTTTACCCTTTTTCGATGCACGATTTTTGACCAGCTTCAGCTGGTGTCCTCTTAGGGATGGGTTTTCACTGAGGGAGGAGAGTTGCCTGTTAGGCTGCGAGAGTCCCTTCAGTATCTTAAAAACCTCTATTAGGTCACCTTCATTCGTCTATGAGGTAGGGAAAACAAGTTTAGCTCTCTCAGTAGTCCCGGGTACGACATCATCCGCAGGGCAAGGCAAAGCCTAATGAAACATCTCTGGACGTGTTCTAGAGCACTGGTCGCGCACGAGGTTTGTCGCCCCTGCCTGCACGCAGTATTCGAGGTGTGGTCGCATCAGGGCCTTGCAGAGGGGCAGTAATACTGCAGGATCCCCCGATGCTACTGCTCTTCTCAACAAGAACAGCGCCTTCGAAGCCTTTGCTGAGGATAGCTGGCACTGTCTTGTAGGCTGGAAGGAACCGTGCATGATGGTAACCAGGTCCCTGATCTCAAAAATGATATCCACCGGTGTGGGCACCATGGCATTTATCACTCTCGTCTCTGTGAGGAATCCCCCTAAGAGTAGCTGTTTGCACTTGCCACCATTTAGCGGCAACAGCCACTCCTCCGTCCACTTCTGGACTTCGGCCAGGTCATCCTGAATGGGGTCACCGATGATTTTGGCGTCATCGGCAAACGGAAAGGAGGAGTGTACTATCCTCTTCGTCAGGTTGTCTATGTAGATGAAGAATAGTAGAGGTCCCAGCATGGACCCTTGGGGCATACCACTACAGACTGCTCCCCGAGTGGAAATTTCACCCTCTACTCTGACATAGAAGGACCGACCAAGTAAGTACCCCGTAATCCATCTGACGACCTGTTCGGACAGACGGAATGTCTTTAGTTTTTCGATCAGCAGTCGGTGGTTGACTGAGTCAAATACCTTTTGGAAATCTAGGTAACAGACTTCCACACGCTCCCCTCGGTCAAGCCTTTGGGTGATCTCATCCATGAAGTCCAGCAAGTTTGACAAGCAGGACTTCTGCACAAAACCATACTGGTTGGGCCATCCACAGCGTTCCATTTAATCTTTCGATTTGTCCGTTATCCCGTGGATTGTGTGGAGTTGTCCTGCTGGTTGCCATTCCCTTATGTGGAGGAAACTTTGCAGTTCACCCGGCATGAAGGCAGTGCCACAATCAGAATAAACATAAGACGGCACTCCAAATAACAAAAATATATGAGTGTTGTGTAACTGTTTCAAGTCCGTGTGTGACATGGCCGAAATACATCGGTTTCGGAAGAATATGTCGGCAGCTTAATTTTGCCCCCTCCGTCCCCTCCAGGCCGGTACTGGATGTCGTAGTGAAAGTATGATAGCCATCTCCATCGTTGAATTTTATCGTTTTTCGCTTTATCTTTGTGCTGTTTGTTGTACATCAAGGCAGCTGAACGTTGGTCCGCGATAAGAGTAAAGTGGTTCCCGACTAGATGTTTCCAGTTCTTTAGAGCTTCTACGATTGCGCACTTTCGATCGCTGGGTGGTGGCGCTCACTAGGGGACAAGCTACGTGAGAAGAAAGCGATCGTACGTCCATCCTGATTCGCTATTGCGATGTCGGATGCGTCGGTTTCAACCATGGGAGGTGATGTTCCCTTGCTCTTCCGTTCTGGGACCGTTTTATCATATACAGGTGATCAAGTGAACTTTAAAGGGAATGAACGACCGCGGCGGTACTTGACCTCGATCTAGTAAGAAAGCGAGTCACGTCCATATGGATCGCTTACCATGGTAAAGCGTAAATGTTAATGTTAATCGTTGCATAAACGAGTTTATCCGAGGTCCTCAATTACCTAGTGAGTAAATTTCCATGGGGCTCAATGTCTCAAATTTTGGACCAAATGCAATTGCTTATGCTCTTTTAGCATTGAAAGTATCAGTCGACAAAATGTTTAACAATGATACTTGGATAAATGGAAACAGTTAGCAAGACTAAATCTGAACGCATACGGTAACATTAATTTTTTCACTGAAATTTCCGGATTGACTACTGCATTCCACGTATCATGCCATTGACGATTGTCTCACTCTCACCTTCGTCATCGCTGTTTCACAACCTGAATATATTTGCTTGATCCTCATTTTTCCTTGAGAGAAACTGAAGGTGATAAACTAGTGATTCTCAGTTAGCCGTGAGCCTACAAATTACGGAATACTATCGAACTCTATCTAGGTAATTTAAGTGCGTGTATTCATGTTCGGTATGCGTTTTACACCTTCAAATAATGGGTTTGTCTATCCCCCCCCACCTCACGGTAACCAGGGTGGTAATGGAGAAAGTGGGAAAAATTGTTGAAGCATCTATATCTCACCCGGCGGACGCATTACGAATAGTGTCGATTTGCATACAAAAAAGTGTATGGGGTACTCGGTATTAGTAGCACCTCTGACTTGGAAGGCTGTCGGCCCCTTTGGGGCATCCTTCATTCTTTGGTCTCCACCAGGCGCTCATCTCTCATCTGTGGCTTCAAGAAGCTGTTTGGATGCAACAGCGTCCACACCTCGGTAAGCAGCTCGACAGGCGGGTCAAACCAAGTCGAGAGTGACCAGGAGCTCAACTCCCGGCGAGTCGGTGTCTAACGTACGTGTTGGGCGGACGAAGTCGCTTTCACGACTCAACGGTCAAGGTAATGATTCCGTACACATCCGGGATGGACCCTCATTCAGCTAGAAACCGTCGATAGCGTATGAGCTCCCCCTCCCAGAGTGCCACCGGCAACCATGCGCTACCTTCCTTCTGCCTTGCAGTTAGTACTTTGATGTGCATAGCCTAGAGATACTACCTCAACCTAAAGCCGGGTGACGCTGGGGACGTTTCTCTGTACCTAACTCCTGAGAAATTTCATGGATATTCACTTGATATCCATGAAGCCGGCCTATCTTCCTCCAGGAGCCGGTCACCGTAAAGTAAAGTAAAGACACCTGTGGCGCCGTCGCGACATGCGGATGTTTGAGAAGAATCAGTATGTGCTGCAGCAGTTAAGCCAGCTGATGCCTTGAGACGCAGAAACTTGATAATTACGAAAATAGTATATAGACTCACGTTTCGAACGCCGCTGTCTATGCCGCATTGCAAGGATCTGGTGGGGGTAATCGGACAAGCAATACTGGGACCAGACGCAGTTTTAGGTAATCGCAAGCAAATCGTCGATATCCATATATTACGCTGGTTGGGGAGCGTTACACATGTCACCAAATAGTATATATATATGCCAGACTGTGCCAAACAAATCACGGTACAGGAATCTTTATAGAAAGAAAAACGTTCCATGATTTGCATGTGGGCAGAATACTGCTAGGTTGCTCAGCCCAAGGCAGGTGAATTCTCCTGAGGAACCAATAACCAGATCCTTCGGCTAGCCAAAGTCTGACCCGCAAGGCAGCGGAGCGGTGTGGGAATACCACTATCCTTTGGAGGACGGCGTCCAGTTTATCCGGTCATACGCCCTTCGTACGGCGTCAAGCATACAAGCAGCTCAATGCACCTCGATACCCAATCCACTCGGTGACCAGGAAGGTGTGTTCGTGGTTAGTACGCCTCTTCTTGGTTGGTTTGGAGTCATGGTTTTTGGCCAACTCCCCTAGATGAACTGCTAGTGTTTCACCAACCCGGTTATAGCCCCGGCTTTTCGTCCTCTCACTTTCGTGAGAGAACACCTCCGCTTCCTCAGCAGAGGCTATTCAAGAGGTTGAGTTGCATGGGAAAATTTCGCGGANGGAAGGGTGACCAGCCGCAACCCTAGACACCCACCTCCTGACCATACTGAGGCTTTCGGAGGTTCACCAAATAGCTCGCCGGAATGGAGTGACATTCCCGGTACTTTTGTTCTCGCCACACTGTGCACTTAAAAGCTAACAAGCTGTTGTCATTATGGGTTGGTGTCATTTTGAATTTCATTATTTCAGAAATGGTGATAGATCTTAAGCCTTGTTACCATCATAATTGCATTTCTGACTGATGAATTTCAGCTACAGTTTCTTCATGTTTGCTATTTGTGCTATCTAGCGTTTTTGGAGGCCTGAGGTATTTACTAAGTTCCTTCCATTAATGGTGACATTGCAGGTGTATCGTAACGATGTGCAATTCTGATATGCTTTATTTTGTAGTATTCGAGTCGATCCGTTAATCGAACCGGTATTCTCCAACAAAGATTGGAAAGAAGTTTGTTCAACCCTCGGAGTGCACCCCCATATCATCGGATGTCTTTCCGACAAATTCAAGATTTCTCGTCTTACAGCTATTCAGGAAGCCACCTTTGTTCCATTAATGGGTTCACGGAACGCTCTGGTTCGTGCTCAGACGGGATCCGGGAAAACACTGGCCTATGCGGTCCCGTTACTATCGAGATTAATGAATGTAGACCCATTGGTCACGAGGACCGATGGACCACTGGCTTTGGTTGTTCTACCAACTAGAGAGTTGGCGACACAAACATTTGAAGTGTTTCAAACACTTTGTCACTCGTGTGTGCGCATTGTCCCCGGTATACTCATCGGTGGCACGCGGAGAAAAGCTCAGAAAGCCAAGTTAGTTTGAGTGAAACGATCGTTTTTCATTTCAATGCTCTGTGTCAATCCAATTAAAAACAAGAATACTCAATCTCTTCCCGATGTAAACAAAGAACACAGTGTTGTACGATTTTTTTTCCGGAAAACGGTGGCTCTATCTCTTCAGGTATATACTACGGTCAAAATCTATAATGTATTGTGTATTGTGTTTAGCTTGTAAGCACTGGAGCTCACATTTCAGTTAAAAAAATCATACACGCTAACCGTCACAATGTAAATAATCAACAGGTAGAAAAGTTTTTACAGACATGGGGACATTTTATAACCCAAGGTTACAATACAAGGTTCACTTATTTTCTGCTCATTGTTTATGAGTAGACGAGCAAGATACGGTATAGGTGAATTGCGGTAAGCGTTAATTCGAGATGAAGTTTGACGGAATTGGGAGTGTTGAATGATGAGAACGACAATGTGTCAGTTCTGCTTGCAATGGGTGGTCAGGATCTGTGAGAAATTTCATACAGGATGTTATATGATACCCTGAAAGCTTTATAGCTAACTCATTCACAGGAATAGAAGAGATCCGACTAGTAATGGTTAGACCGCGAATAATAAGAAGTAACAGTTACTGTGGATGAGCTGTTGCTGACTGTAGTATGTATCTGAAGAGATACAACCAAATTTTTCCGGAAACAGTTTGTGTAACACTTTGCCGCTGTTCTTTATTCAAATACTGACTTTGATACTTCATGGTAATAGTACCAATGGTGGAAACGTCCGTATCTTTTTGTTACACTTTTGTGATGAACAACAGTCGAGATAAACCTCACAGTCAGGAGGACCTGCTGTTCAGTGATGGGAACGGGCAACCTAAGCCCCGCGGGACCCGGCGTGGGGAACTGCATAAGGTCCCACTCGGCTAGGCCTGACATTGACCCGGACGGCATGGAATCTACCTACCTGAGACGCAACGAAAGTATGGGCAATTTTCCGCAAGGGTTTATGGTCTAGCGAAAACTACCAGTGGATATTTAAAAAAATGATCGTGTTTCCCAGGCTTTTCATTGGTTTTGTCTGACATATTTTGGAATCGTTGCATATCGCGCTAGTCCAGCAGTCATTCTGTAGCACACTGTTCGTCATAAGAAAGGAATCCAAACCGTTGTTAAACAGCTCTGGAGTACTCCAGGGTGCAGTTCTTTCCCCATATTTATTTTCTATGTATATTAGTGACTTTTCTGCTTGCGCCCTTACTTCTCTCTTCAAGTATGCTGACGACGTGGTCTTGTGTCAGACCATCTCTGACTCTTCTGGTCTTTCACAATTTTCTGACAACTTGGATAACGTCCAACGGTTTTCCTCCACATCGGGCCTATCTCTTAATCCCTCCAAATGTTTCGAATATCTCTTTATACTATCACGCTCTTCTTTCCCATCTGAACCGGTATCGATTGGTTCCGAACCAGTATCCCAGGTAAACTGCATTAAATACCTGGGCGTTTTTATTGGTACTAATCTTCACGGGACCTCTCACATTCAACACATCGTCAGTAAGCTTCGATAACTTTCTTTTCATATCCGTAAACTTCGTCAGTTTCGTAATCCACAATCAGTTATTTCCGACTTTGTGTATCAGTGTTTTCCTTGTTTTACTTCATTGTTCACCTGTTATTTTCCCGAACCTCCTTAAGAAAGATTTTAATTTGCTTCGACGTGGATTGATCATCATTAGCCGTGTCTCTTCAATCCCACTAAAGGAGTTGATAACTAACCTATGCGAACGTCATTTGAATGCATGTGAAAAGTTTGCGCATAAGATTCTCATCGACTCCACACATCCGCTACACGCTGACCTAACTTCCTGTTGTTCCTATTCCTCAACTAGATCACAATATCTTTGTGTTCCCTCTAGAATAAACATTTATCATAACTCCACAGTACCCTCATTAGCACGTATTCTTGTTAACAAAGAACAGGTTTTCACAGACTTCGTTAACAGTTTTGGAACTTAAATCTCTTTTTTTCATTGTTATTTTCATTTTCTCCCTTGTTCCAAACTCTATATTTTTTAACTGAAATGTGGGCTTCATGCTTGCAAAAGTTATTACAATACAATACAATACAACATAAGATGTCTCTCTTTATACACTGTGATCCACCGTCACCATGCCCTCGGGGATATTTCACTCTAACAAAACTGTGATACAGGCTTTCGTTGCACGAAGGGTGACGTGTTATAAACGTCCGACAGGTATGAACGTTTTAGTCCTGCTACCCACACATTTGTTCTTTTGAGTTCACTTCATGTTCATGGAAATGTAGTTAGTCTGGAATGCATTTCAAATGTGGGAATTGGGAAAGTCTTTCCGGACTGACGGCGAGAAGATGAATCTCTCGAGTCGAAGGTACAGGTGTTTATTGACAAACACGCAAAGTTGACTCCAGGGCTGTCAGACGCTTTGTTAGCTTTCAAATCTGATTTTTCATGCGCAGTTGCTGTGATCAGCTGCCTGCTGTCTAACCTCCATCCACATACGGTGTCTGTCTCATCGATTCAACTGCGAGGGTTTTCCGAACGGGTGTGTCGCAACTAGTGGTACTCATGCGTGTACTCTATTTCTTCGCACTCTTAACCTGTATTCTCTATTCTTTCACGCTAATAATGCCTCCAGCCTGTTTGGAAACATTTTTTAAATCCAATTTCGAAATGTGTCGATTCTCGCATTTAGAAAATAATTTCAGGCGAATAATTGTTTTCAATAACTCATCATGCCGTTACAGTTTATGACGGGAAAATCCTAGGGGTTGGGAAGAGAACAATAAAATGTGACGGATCGTTCACTTCGTGTATGCTTGTTTATATGTGTGTTGCACACCGCATTTTCCGATCTTTGCTTCCGGGGATTTCAGCTATGTCACGACGGCCGTGTGACCCAGTTCTGAGAGATTGGTGTTGTGTGATAATGTTTGTGTGTGCGGGCAGGGGTTGAGTGGGTTCGCGAACCCAGGGGAGATGGAGAGCCTGGATAAGACTCTTCCGGGCACATAGTTCGGGGGTCAAATGCTTAATACAGATGACCTCGGTTACTATGGTCAACGTACGCATTCTAGCGTATTTGGACCGGTTCCGGGGGGACCTGATAAACAAAGTGGAATGCTTCACTTGGGTAATACGATGATCAGTGTCTACTAAGTGATCGAGAATCGTACATGTGATAGATCCGGAGCCACCTCGACTCGCCTAGCGTAGATGGCGTTCTGTTATGCAGATAGGTAACTGCCGTACGACCGACGTAGAGTGCGTCGCAAACGCATAGGATCGAGTAAACAATCACTGAGGCGGTCAACATCGATAGTTTATTCCGTATGATTATCAGTGGCGAACTTTTGAAAGAATTTTTGAAATCAATAAGAGATGTGGTGGTAGCAACCATGCAGCACGATGAAGGTTCAGTGTGATGAGGTTGGAGTGAGCTGGTATTTTTGGATAGTATCACCAGTTGCGAAATTTACTTAGAAACCTTATCATATACTTGTCAATGTTGAGCACGATAACCAAGGCGAATTTTCCGAACGAAAACGCCTTTTCACATCGTGTCATGCGCACCCACATAATTGAATCTCCCGTGGCCACCTCGGTCACATTAAATATCCGTCGGATCAGCTCCAGACGAGAGTAAACCAGAGGCAGCGCAGTGGTTTAGTCGCTGTCACCGGCGTGCTTTAGNNCCCCGTGGTCCGAGGTTCGAGCCCCGCCACCACCACCACCCAACTTTGGTGGTAAGTGGGTTTGCTGTCGCCCGGTTCTATACCACGCCTGAGCTAGAGGGGCCTTATGCGGTTCGCCACTCTAAGCCCTGGTGGGGCTTAGGTTGCCGATTACCCTCACTGGACAACAGGTTTTCTTGACTATGGGGTCCGCACTGACTACTGTTCATCACACATTAGTGTGTAATAAAAAAGGCAGTGGTACAAATCTCCAGAGGTGTTGAAGACGAACTTGTAGAATTGACGAAACCGTGTGCCACCGAATGGTCGATAACAAGTGTGAGTTGATAGCTCAATGTTAGCATATGGGGGGAGCGGCTTTTAGCGAAAATTGTACAGTTCAACGCAATCACATCGATTGTCTATGCCGGAAGACATCTTTCCTATTGTGTAAACTTCACTTTTACCGTCGTTTGATCAGTTTCGGATTTTGTTTGACGAGGTTTCCACAAGCAATCGACTAGTAGATCTACATTGCTAGTATTGTATGCTATTCCGAGGAGTCCCCTCAGGGATCCGTGCTTCATCCTCAACTATTTCTAGTTTTCATAACGGGTGTTTTTGAGTCACAAACGTTAAAGTGTACAGACGATGCAAAAATATGGAAAACAGTGACCGAATCTGAGGACCCACTGGCACTCCAGAGAATACCTAATACTGCTTGTCAATGTTCGATCGAAAACGACATTAAATTCAGTGTATCAAAATCTACGGTCATATTCTTTCGCCAGAGAACTCGGTTTCCGTACTAATTGGGATATCAAAGATGGCCAAGGGGCTGTATTCGGAGACATAAGTGGAAAGACCGGAATCTCTGGGATTGTACTCCACCGACCTCAGTGTTCTCAGTGGACTGGAACAACAACGTCATTCATTTGCCCGCAGAATGTGCATTATTTGGTATTCTATACCACACGTTGTTTCTGCGCCCACAGTTCAATCACAAACGAAATGAAACATTGTCATATCTTCAATTTCCACATCCGTCATCACATCATCACCACATCACCGAAAATCTGTGACATTCTTTCTCTCTCAATGATTCGTAAATCGATCCAGTTGTACGAAAACCCCTATGGGACAAGAAATACAATCGCTTGTAGGTATTTCCCATCATAAAACTATGAAAGCCTTTGAAATATTGTCCCCCTCCGTGTAAGTCTGCACACTTCATTGATTTTATTTTAATTCCAGTTTACGGAAAGGTATCAACATAGTGATTGGAACACCCCAGCGAATATTGGATCATATTTTACGAACTGCCAGTCTAGATCTGTCGCATCTGCGATGGCTTGTCATTGATGAGGCGGATCGTTTGTTGGAAATGGGTTTTGAACGGGACGTTCGTCGGATAATTGACCATATCAAAAATCTTGTGCCTTCTGAAGAACATCCGGACGAAAAACACAGAAACCAGACTTCACAGACCGTGTTGCTATCAGCCACATTAACTCAAGGTAATTTTAGGTTTTTTGCGTTGCTCAAGTTATCATTCATCCGATCAGTAGATTTTTGTTTGTAAGGAACTTAGTTTCTGTTTCATTGTCCAGCTCCCACTGGCCAGAGCATCTGTTGCCGGAACCATACTTGAAATACTTTTTTTCTAGTTCAACTCGGATACTTTTTTTACTGCACATTTACTTGATGAACAGCAGACGGGGTAAAACTCATAGTTATCAAAACCCGCTGTCTGGTGATGAAAACCGGTAACCTAAGCCCCGTGGGACTTGAAGTGGCGAACCACATAAGGCTCTGCTAGATCAGGCGTGATATTTAACCAANAGACAACAAAGCTGTCTACGATGAAAGTTAGATGGCGGTGGCGGTGGCGGTGGCAAGGCTCGAAACTCGGATCAGAGGGTCCAAAGTATGCCGGTGAAACAATGGTTCACTATCCGCGAATGCCTGAAATGTTTGTTCCCTGTTCAGTGGATACCGGCACACAATGAGAATGAATAAAACCGAAAAAATCTGGTTTAGGTCGGTTAATGTCATATGCACAACGAAACCACTGAGTTTCACGAAGTAAATGTGTAAATTATGGACTAAATTCCACAAACTATACAATTTTTCGTCCCACTTTAAATTTCTTGTCTTCTTGGTTGGGATTCGAAGGATTTTCCAGCAATTAATCGGAAAACTAATTGATATGATAGCGAACTGACGGCGGCGTCCTTGTTAGCGTTTATGCATAACCACCCAATTGTTTGCATTATCACAATAGCGAACAAGCTTGTTTTCGATAACATCTTTTCAGTATCACCCACTGATGCAGACCAGAAATGAATGAGTTCACTCAATTCTGTGAAAATTTTTCAAACCAATGGTTTAGTCGCTGTCACCCGTGTGCTTTGGACCGTATGATCCGAGGTTCGAGCCCCGCCACCACCACTCAGCTTTGATGGTAGGCAGTTTTGCTACCGTCCGGTTTAATACCACGCCGAACCTAGCGAGGCCTTATGCGGTTCGCCAATCCAAGTCCCGGGGCTTAGCTTAACGGTTTCAATCACTGAACAGCAGGTCCCCGTGACTATGGGGGTTACCCCGTCTTCATCCCACTTCATCCCACCGAAAGAGTTTTTTCCAAATGGGTGCCCAAGATTTTAGAGAACGGCTTACTTCGCGGTAGCCCACACCGACGAACCAGTTTTTCTTTGGGAACCCTAACCGGAGCCTTCGACTCAAAAGTCTGACCCACAAGGGTGTAAATCCAACGAGGGAGCGTGGGCGAAGCACCCATGTGGGAGCTTCTGGAGACCTGTCGCACAAGGCCTTCGGGTTTCGGTTCAGTGTTTTGTTCGCTGGTGCGTTGTTTTTCGGGATCGGCCCTTAGTCAAATGCACCAATGAGACAAACGGAACGTGGACGGGACAGCGCCTTAATCTCTGCTCAGCTTGGAGGGGCAGGAGCTGTCCATTGAAGTGCGAGAGCGAGCCCCAGGTACCTCGCTCCTATATCCATCTAGCGTTTCTTTGACCGGTCGACTGCCCTTCACCGTGTTTATTTGCTAAAGTGACCTCTCTCCAGAGGGGCGGGTGTGGATAAACGAAGGAGCGGCCTAACCAGCTGGCCTTGTGAGACTGAGCACGAGCAAAAGTCGCAAGCTTATTCATTCATTAGCTTGTCCACTCACGCGAGACATGCGTGAGTTCTGCGTACCACCGTTGCCCGCTTTTTGAANCTTTTTGAAATGGTTCGTTCTCATACGAATACCAAATACATGGTCACATTTGAATCAGTTGTTGGGATGGTTCTTATCGTCAGTTAACGGGGTCCTGATCACTCAATTGTAATTAACCGTTAGTTAGTTTTTCCACTCTTTCACTACCGGTATGTTTACACCGGGTGCCGCAAATGAACGAACGAACTGATCACGTGTTCTCCTGTTTGTTTTGCATCGGGTTATCACGACAATCGTTGTTACGCTTCTCAGAATGATCCTTTTCCTATGCCTTCGATCAATCATTGGGTTGATATAAAGCCTCGTATTCTACTCTTGCCTAAGATTGGATACTTGAAAAGTTCGAAATCATTCGCCACATTTTATGGTTCAGCCCTACGGATTCAAGTACGCCTGAGGTGTTCAACTTTAAACGTGGGGACCGCACTTTCTGTCACTGGCCCAGATTTCGTCCCTGCAGCAACTTCCCCTATTGTAATGATACATTTCCAGCCCGAGCAATTGGTCGACCTCCATAGATTACGTTGGTTGGGGCATGTGTTACGCATGTCACCACAGCGAGCGATATTGCCGAGAAAAGTAGTTGGTGGAACAAAGCGAAAGGTGGTCAAGCTAAAACCTGGCATGAGGGTATGAAAACCCTAACCAAGAGTCTTGGTCACATAGGTCCCGTTAGGCTCCCCGGCTGGGGACCTCGGGATGATCATAACCAATGGTTAGAGACACTGAGGGATGTGGCTGAGTGTCGTGAACAGTGGTGCATCTCAGTTTCTTTGCAGCCTTAGTTCACTGAAATTCTCAGTTTTCTCTTCGACTCTACTATTAACCTTCCTGTCTTCCTCCCACTATTCATCAAACTGGGTAGCCAAAAGACAGCAACCAAAACCACCACACGAAGTTGCATAGTTAATGATTGTACAAACTGAACTGAACTCATCACACCGAAAAGTGTGTAATAAAAATATCGTTTAAGTTTTTCATGCTCGTAGACAATAACCTTAATTTCTATTTTCGTGACAAATATTGTGGTTGTCTTGGGTGAACAGTTAGCGAACACATAGTTTCAATAACCAATAATCAGTGTAAATCTCGTCTTCACTCCATTTTTGGCCTCATGATGTTCTGTAGGCGTGGAGAAGTTGGCCGGTTTAACATTAACCAATCCCGTCCGTTGTTTGGTCAGTTCGACACACGGAGGACCGGACAGTACCGATATGAACCGAGAGGGTGATCAGTTTGCCATGCCCGCCGGTCTGCGACATTTCGTCCTCGTTGTTCCCTGGAAATTGAGACTTATTTCACTGGCCGCGTTTCTGTTGCTCAAGTGCCAAGTAAGTTGAACAATCAGTCTAACATAACGCATTGCTTTTTCTCATTCCACACGCAGTGATTTACAGTAAAAGGAGTCAACCCCATAATTTATGACACTGTAAGGGAGAGGTATGTGGGGAAACATTCAAGTGAGAATCAATTTGTTAATCCTGCTTTTGAAAAGAGTGAGATTGTGAGTGTTCGAAAACACGGAGGTGGGAAGTGTTCTACGATTTCGACATCTAGAGGCAAAAACCTATCAAGGGTGACTGCCCGTCGGAGAACCAAATGGACGAGGAAGAGGTTAAGGGGAGGCGAATCGCTGAACCGAGTTCGGAAGAGCAGAAACCAAAATAGTAATCATAGAAAAGAGATAAGGAAGGAGCTGCTCGGGGATGGGAAACTGACTGCCGTTTAAAAGTTTCAAGACAATTTGTCGATCAACCGGACGGTCGAGGAGGGAAAGGGCGTCGTAGTACGAAGCGTCACCCCATACGTGACTGCAGTATTCGAGCACCGGGCGGATTTGAGTTTGGTATAAAAAGAGGTGCTTGGGTGTAAAGAAACGCTTTGCACGGAACAGGGAACCGACTTTGAACGTAGTGCGAGAGGTGAATGTGGAAAAAGAAAGAAAATCAATAGAAAGCAGAATTTGTGGATAGAACCAGGAGGGAGAAAATTTGTGGAACGAAGGATAGCGAATCAAAAGTCAATTGCGGAGAAAAAGAGAGACAAGGGAACAAGAGAGACGAACAGAAAAGAAGTTTTGGAAGCATTGAAACGCACATGGTAGGTAGAACCCCATGTAGAGATGAGTCCGATTCCGGA